GTATTGAAAAGTATGTTTTCTTTTTTAAAAAAATTGTTCTCTGTGTACTTATAAAACTATTTAATCAATCAATGTCAGTAATCAATAATTTGCGATTCTTTCCGGGTGTACATAATACAAGTATTGTGAATTTATTGTCATTTCATTTTGATCAGAAATGTTCATTATTACAATTTTTTTCTTTGAAATTGATCTCGCGCTCAATATATCATTATATTATGCTTAGCGATATTATGAAACTAAAAGATATATTGCTCAATTAAACACATTGAGTTCCACCGCTGTTTTATATAGTTTAAACAATTCACTTTGAATAATCGCATGACTAAATTGAAAACGATGAAAATATAAACCAAGTTATATAAATAGAAAAATATAAAAGTTTAAAACAGTTATCGATAACAGTTTTACTATGACAATCGGTTAAACGGAAAAAAATCCATATCAAATGAATTATCAAATGAATTTATTTAATACATGTTAATTTATCTGTTTAATTTGTGTTTCGGAAAACAAATTTTTTTCTATACTTATTTTGCAAATTCGTCAATAGTAGTTTGAAAGAAAATTAAAAAATGAAAGTTCAATATAAAACACTTATTATTTTTATATTAATGTAAAATTATACTGTGCCACTCATCATTTAAACATTTATATTTTGCGTTAAAATATTCGCAAAAATATTGAATAATAAGAGACTAACAATCATCTCTAATTTATAAATACCATTATTATTATTAATTTATTAATTTATTTTTTCATTAAACATCGTAATCGCCTATTTTGTATTTAATTTTGTTGATTTTTTTAAAGTTTCCTGCACTGTAAATAAAGATTATAAACGTGATTTTATGTAATAAAACGGTGACACTGATACATCAATCGATCGATCGGAAAATTTTTCAAGCGCTTCAAATAATATGTATGTATATATTGATATATATATATATATAAAAAAAAAAATTTTATATATCAAAAACAATATTTTTGAAATAAATCAAAGCGCCTGAGTTGGCATTTTTTGCGAGCAACTAAATTCTTAGTTAATTAATCTCTCGAAGCTCTATTAAAATACATAGTATAAAACATATAATGTATGTCGTTTCGTAGCATCGAAACATCAAAGAAATGCGAGGCAGCTCAGAGATGAGAAAAACTATGTTTACCTCGATTAGCGGAAGTAAGTTAGGAAGGTATGCGAGTATGCAAAATACTGGTTTGAGGCGAGGCCAGACCTTTGTAAAATGTGCAAAACTCTTGATCTGCGGTTTTACAAATATTTGTAATAAACTTTTAAATGCATTTTCTCATTTGTATACATACTTTTATAAATTAGGCAACATAAAGTTAGAGATAATAAGGAAATTTAGGGGGACGTAGTTTGACGTATTTTATGTATATAAGTTTGACGTAGGCGTATTTTGACTGACAATTATAATTGTATGTGTAATAAGGCCTTTGGTAGCCTAAGATTAAGCATAAAACTTAAAAACCCGTTGGGTTTATGATTACAAGTGCTCACCAACATGTCACGACTCAGCAGACGTACAACAGCCATTTTGTATTTATTCGCAAATACTAAAAGTAGTCTAAGAATTAATCAAATAATGACAATTGTACGTCATTTTAGTATAATGCTTTTAACAAGACAAATGATACAAATGATCATTGATATTGCAAATACGAAGACTTAACTCAGGTCCTAAATTGTAGTTGCTATGGAGTTGTATTTCGATATTCTTACTCTTATTCTTCAGCTACAAGACTCACAAATCATACGAAATATAATTATAGACGTATATAATTGTCTATATAAAATAATTGATTGTAGGGATGAATCAAGTCGATTATATCGTTATATGTTTCGAACGATACAAGGGATGGATATTATCCAACATTATAAATAAAAAACAACATAAATAAATAAAGGATGGAGGCACAAAGTCGATGGTTTTTACACATTAATGTAATTTTTCAAATAATCGAAGCGAAAGTATATTAGAATTTCAAGTTTCGGCTTTATTAAGTGTTGTATTAAGTTTTTAAGCTATGTGCCGTCAAGTACCATCGATCTTTGTTCCGATGTCAAAGCATAAGTACACGTTGTGGAATTAATCGATCTGTCTGTTATTTTTTCACTAATTAGATAATTTGTGAAGTCTTTTTCTGAAGTTCGACCTTAATTTCCAATGTTATTAAGCTAAAATATATTATTAAAGTGCTAAATGTTAGAGTTTAGTCATTATTTTGCTTCTTTCAAAGCTTTTTTATAATACTTAACCACTCTTAGCATTTCAAATCGAACTATCGTATTATCAAAGTAAGTTAACGTATACTTTTTAAAGTATTCGTTATTTCCTTGGAATCGAAAGTATTCACAATTCAATTAAAAAAAAAATTAAAAAAAAGAGAAAAAAAAAGTTGAATAATTTTTATAGTAAATTTAGTACGTTAGACAAGCAGTGCTTCAGAATTACAAACGTCACGTGATTTATTAGATAATGTCAAAAATTTATTTATTTCAGTTAAGTAAGCTTAAAACGCGGCACCAATACTGAAATTAAAGCCATCGACATGAAGTAGCTGATAGGATGATAACGATAAGACTAGATTCAATCCCACACTGTTTGACAAGAAGAATTTGCAAATAAAAAGAAAAAGAAACGAAAAAAAACTTTTGTCGTTATCGTATGGTTGTAATAATCGTCCCTTCTACACAGTTTATCGGGGCGATAGCGATATTTTGCTCATACACGAGGAGACTCGATCGCATTACCGATATCTCAATTTTTCTTGCGACGATCGACATTCGATTATATACCGCGTGTCGGACTACAAAGAATCAATTGGACGTCAGACCTCGTATTTTCGACGACGTTTAACGCCTAGCAGCTGCGTTGACACGTATCATTACGAATTAAGGTAAAGATCGTGAGTATAGACCCTCGGGGATCGTTGGGGATCGTTATTCGGTCAGTCGACTGGAGAGTCGTACGGAATCATTTAGGGAAATCGTAATTTTGTTACAACAAGTCGGTCTTGCGCACCTCTAATCGAATAAGTTACGCGAAATAGTAATCCACCGCTTTTTAAAAGTCTCGCGTCCGTCTACTTCATAATCCCACGGACGGATGACGGTCCGTCAAATTACCATTAAAATTGTACTAAAATTGTCGTAATTGTTGACTTTGCATAATCACACTGGCCGTAAAATAATTATATAATTTCTTTAATTCTTAATAACTCAATACTTGAACGAACACTTACTCGGTCTTAATTTATTTTTTAATAACCAATTAATTTTTTTATAAAGCCTAACGAATTCAAGCCCAACACCCATCAACTTTTTTCTTCGATTGATTCACGCAGCTTGAAAAATCATTATTTCAAGCAATAATTAGAATTTTCATTCTCGATAATCATGAGTTTTCTTACATGAGTTTGCTCGACAATTAGACGATAGTCTCGTGTAAAAGATTAATTTATTATTATTATTATTATTATTATTATTATGTTTATTGTTGTTATCGTTATTATTATTGTTATTATTATGGACGGTCTTAGAGTTAAGAGGAAAAGGGACGTGCACAATCGCTTGTTAATCAATCAATTGTTTATAAATAGCCACTATATTGCAATATAATAAAAGTCTCGTAAAATAATAGAGAACTTTAATATCGAAGCAAGTATTATAGTGGAAAAGAAAGTTTGCCTTGAAAAGGAAATCAATGTAATTTTAAGCGGCGATCAAAGCACCGGGGAGATAAATTTATAGAATTTGAATTTTTATCCCCAAGGAAACGTAAAACGTGTTACTTTATCACGTACGACACCCGTTCACTTACTGTACATAAATTTCTTTCACGGTTGATGCAATCCAACCAACATTCGTTCAACAATCACGTCGGTCTATATAGTTGTAGTTTTCAAGTTTTCAGGTCAGCTTGGGAATCTTCCATTCGCCGTTTTCACGTAACGTGCTTGACATTTAAGAGGCTCGGGCTTTTGCCTCTTTAAAACGGCAGGGGCGACACATGAGGCGGTTTATACGAAATTCAACGTTGACATAATAACAAGAGAAGGCTCGATTAATTGAGACGATAAATGGAGAAGGCGGTCGAGGGGCCGAACCAACGAGCACGCTCGTTAAGAAGAACGATTGCGCGCGCCAGAGAGACACACTAGCCTTATAATCGAGGATGAGAGACAGAGAGATAGAGATAGAGAGAGAGAGAGAGAGAGAGAGAGAGGGAGAGAGAGAGAGAGAGAGAGAGAGAGAGAGAGAGAGAGAGAGAGAGAGAGAGAGAGAGAGAGATAGGTAGTCGCGGGCGAAGGCATGATCGACTGGGAACCTCGGCCGAGCATAAATATGCATTTGGCACGTCGAGCGAAGCGATTCCAAAATTTGTATTCCACGGGGTGCTCGGCTAGCTGCTCCTAATCTTCGCCGATAGACGAGGCAGGCGAGAGAGAAGAAATGGTGAACGAAGCACTCCTCCTCAACGGATAGAGGACGGGGAATGGCGCGCAACCTCGGTGATTTCCTTTCCCCTCGCTGCTCGTTGCAATTCGGTTGCGCTCCGGCTGCACTCTGGCGATGCTCGATATTTTCCCCTTCCCACCGGTGTTCGCCACCTGCTTCGGTGGCCGCTCGTGCGCGGGTGGGAACGGGGAGAGACGAGGGTAGAGAGCGAGAGAGAGAGAGAGAGAGAGAGAGAGAGAGAGAGGGCGTGAGTGAGATAGAGGGGGGGGGCATCCGAGGCTCGTAGCGCACAGCTCTCGCGAGACATGTCGAACTTTTTGTTTTCTCGTTGCCGTTTTCACTTTCTAAGCTTAGGCGCAAAATAATCTCGACTACCGACGCCGCATCGAGAGGCAGCACGAAGGCGCCGCGCCCGCCACTCGCAGATGCGCGCTTTCCTTTTGTGCATTATCGAGTACCGAAGCGTTCGATATCGGCGAGCGTCGTTGCGTTACGACACACTCTCTACAGAACGCTCGATCGTTCGAATTTTGAATTTGAAGTGCCACGGCTTTTGCGACTGAGTGCAAATTTAACAAATTTTACGCTGACCTCGGCTCCACTTTAACGCCATACTCGCCGTGTAAGAGCTTACCTTTGATCTTACAATTTTCATACCTTTGTGTCCCCTCGTCCCGCTCTATTCAGTATTGTATTGCGTTATTCTATCGTGGTTTGAAAAATGCCGACCTTGACAATCGTTCGTTATTTCGTACACGGGTATGTATAATCAAGCAAAACAATTAAAGAATAATGACGCGAGCGCATCTTTAAAAGTCTGCTCTAAAGGGATAAATGTTTGGTGTGTGTTTTTTCATTTTATTTTCGAATGTAATAGAGCTTGCGGAAGAAGACAAGTGTTATCGGTAGAGGTGCGAATTCGCGTGGGAGGAGGGGGATGTGGCAGCGATGGGAAATTATTATAAGGGTATCATCGGAGGATCGTGTGAAACCGAGAGGAAAAGCTTTATCGCGTGTTAATAGGCTTAATATGCGCGGCTGTTTTAATAGGCATAAAAGCGTGTAGAACGTCGATCTCACTCTCGTTTGAGAACAGGTTTCACGCGCATTTAAACTCTCTTCGCTCTCGGTTTCTTTTTTCCTTAGTAGCGGCGCAGACAGAGCATGTCGAGACGCGCAGGGACACGTGCTAAGTATCTTTGGGCGAGTCCGTCACGGTTTAGGGGCCCGCAGGCGTCTAAGAATGGGCCACGTAGCATTGAATTTCGCGAATTCAGGGAAGTTGGAGATCCTCGAGGGTTCGAGCTCGCGTTTCACTGCACCGCCCGGCGGTTAGTCAACGACTCCTCGCGACCAAACTTTCAATGGGATTTGGTTGTGTAGCCCCGCCCGCTACGCCATTTCCCTTCCCTTCCCACACGGAGTCGGCGTAAACAAAGAAATGCACATGAACTGGGTACCGTGGTTCGGCGGCCCGTTCGTCTTACGCTTAGCTGCTAATAAGACCTCGTAAGATCCGTGGGGGAGGTACGACGGTAATGGCTGTAGTGGCGGTGACGATGACTGGAGGGACGGGGGTGCGGGCGCACGAAGGGAGCGAGTCTGTGGGAAAAGAGGCCCACGCGCGCGGCCGTAGAGAAGGCGACTGGGCCAGAACAAAGCCGCGACATAAAGAGGCGCTGAGAGGAGAGGGACTCAGGGCCCACACCCATGTAGCCTCGCCGATCGCCTTCTCTTCCCGCAGTGGGCGGCGTAATTATCCTGCGCGCACGACTGGGAGTCGAAAGGAAGCCGAGCGATCGTACAATGGAAGGCCGAGAGCGCGCCCGCGCTTCTGTGTGTGCGTGCGCATGGTAAAAATGAAATGGGGCATTGGGTGAAAGTGCTTGTCGGGCGGCGGGTGCTGGGAGGCAAACGGAGGTATCGAGCGCCACAAGATCAGTCATCGGTCTGCGACAGACCGTAATCCTCGGGATCGCCGGGAGCTCGTTATAGTTAGATCGCGCGCGCACTCGCTCTCGCGATTATGGCCACGGCGCCGCGTTACGGCTCGATTCGACAAGCTCGATGACACCGCGCCTCTCCGTCGCTCGTTCGTCCTGAGAAGTCCATTATCGCGCACGACGTAGTTATGCCGCCGGCAAACAGTCCCTAAAGTTAACGACGTGCGCTTGCTCTGTGCATATTATTAGGCGACTTGCTTGGCTCCGGTCGTGCCTTACTCGCAACTGTGTCCAAAGGCGGAGAGGGAGCGCGCGCGCGCGCGTGATAAAGAGAGCGAGAGAGAGAGAGAGAGAGAGAGAGAGAGAACGAGATCGAGCGTGTGTTTGCGCGTGTGCGAGAGTGAGAGAGAGAGAGAGAGCGCGCGCAAAGGGTATTCCCGTCTAAGAGGCGTTTTGTTGCCGCAGACTAGGAGGTGGTAGCCGACGGCTAACAGTATGAGCACCACGACGAAGAATTGCTGGTGCAGCCTCCTGCTGTTTATCGGGGCGGCAACACTCGTTGTCGCCCTAGAAAACGGCCTAGCCAGGACCCCGCCGATGGGATGGCTCGCTTGGGAACGGTTCCGATGTAACACCGATTGCAAAAACGACCCGGAGAACTGTATCAGGTAAAGAGTTAATTTGCTTTATTCGAACCGTCGATGCTTAACTAAACGGGTTCAAGTTACTTTGCAATATTTTCATTACACTTGATCGCTCTGCTTTAAAAAAAAAAAAAAAAAAAAACCCACGTCGTTATGTATGCACTCTATTTTATTAGTATAAGTAAATTGCACTTTACTCATTTAGAATTAATTCAAATTTGAAATTGTTTAATGGCAATTCTTTTATTAACATTTTTAATCGTTTATAAAGTACCAAGAGTATTAGTAATTTTTTCATTTAGCATTTATGATAATTAATATATTTAAACCTGTATCTGATAAGAAGTATATTGGAAGTATAGTAATTACATTTTGTAAATATAAAAATGTCATTATTATATTATATAGAGCCTTGTATTTAGAATTCTCATCATATTTACTTCCTTGAGTTGATAACACTTGGTAATTAAACTATGCATAGTTCTTATGTAAATATTAAATATTATTGAATATACCATATTAAAAAATTCTATTATCATGTATATTTTGAAATGTCTAATTATTGAGATTTGTCATTCAACTTAACAACATTATCAAAACAAAGAAATTAACTTAAAATTGTATTTTGTAATCATAGCATTTCAAAACAAGGAAATTTTGTCTAACTGATAATCATTAGTTTTTAATGAATTTATAAGATTATAAAAATGCAACGAAGATAAGTTTTTTTAAGTTTTAAAAAAAATTCTACTTATTATAACCATTTCATTATGATTGATTAAAATTACTTACTTATTAGATGTAAATCATAAAATTTCACTGTAATTTATTATTCTTTAAAATGATTAAAATGCACTTATTTTCATTACTTTATAAAAGATTCTTAATTCAGTTATTTTTTAATTAAGAGTAGTCAATTAAAAATTTATTTCTGAAGATGGAAAAATTAATTTATAGATAAATTAATATTTTTATTTGTGATAATTAAATGCAAGATTTGTATTAAATGAAATGTGAAATATAATTTCTTACCTGTTTTCATCGATAGCTAATATTAATATAAATGTCATAACATAATTTTATAACTAGCATTGTGAAAATTGTGTATGCACTTCTATATATAATCTTTTTTTCAATATAAAGATACAATAAATTAATTTATTTCTATTTTTTCCATTTATTATAATTTCAATTTTTTCAAAATTAAATTGTATAAAAATTATTTTATGTAAATTTTATGTATTAATTAATATAAATGTCTATCGAGGGACTTTTCTTATGTATAAAACCTGTCTAACTGGTTATATGAGTATTGAATAAAATAAAGTAATCTTAAGAAATGTGAAAAAGTACTAAAATGACTCTTATTAAACTTTTATTAAATTATTTTTAAGATAGTTAATGATAAATTTAATTATTTTTTTGTATGTATTCATTAAGAATACATGTCCTTGAAATCTGTAAAGAGAAATAAAACTAAAAATTTCGTATGTATATATTTTTTATAATAATTATATAAATACAGTTTGTAGGCTGAAATAATAAATTAAAGTCTTACCCGTGCTAACTGCTTTTTTAATTATTGAATTAAAAATATTTTCTATTTCCCCGCATGTCATACATTAAAATTTACAATCAATCAATTATCCACAAAGCACTATATACCATTTTAAAGTAATATAAATATTAAAAATTTAACTAAAATGAGCTGTTTTTTAAACTTTTAGTGATCATCTCTTCAGAACAATGACGGATATTATAATCTCAGAAGGGTACGCAGATGTTGGATACGAATACATTAACATCGATGATTGCTGGCTGGAAAAAAAACGAAATTTTCATGGACAACTTGTACCTGATAAACAACGTTTTCCTTATGGAATGAAGAGCTTGGCTGATTATGTAAGATACACAAAAATCTCTTACTAGATTTCTAATGTGCAATGATTAGCGAAAGTAATAAGTTAGATGTTTGATCATACTAATATTTATGTTGTTTTAAAAAGAAATTGTTTCATCATCATCATCATTCGCTTTTGCAGATTCATTCCAAAGGATTAAAGTTTGGTATTTACGAGGACTATGGCAACTATACTTGCGCAGGATATCCTGGTATATTGGGATATATGGAAAATGATGCATCCCTGTTTGCTGCATGGGATGTAGACTATGTAAAACTTGATGGCTGTTATTCTAATCATAGAGAGATGGATGAAGGTGGTTATAGGATTTTTATAATTGATATTAGCCTGTTATTTATACGTACTAAGATAAATGAAATCTGGTTTTCAGGTTATCCTCAATTTGGTTTCCATTTGAATCAAACTGGAAGACCAATGATTTATTCCTGTAGTTGGCCAGTTTATCAAATTTATTCTGGCATAAAGGTAAATAACAATCTTATTCACAACCGATGATACTGTAAATATATCTCCAAAATATTGTTTACATATATTAAAAATGGAAAGTTAGAAAGTGCTAATAGTTAAACCTGATATTAAGTCAGAACCCATTATTATTTGCAGCATTACAGCTTCCTTTATAATAACCTGTAATTTAAGGACAAATAATATAAGAGTTGCACTATTATATAATTAGCAATAATTATTACTTTATTATAATGATTTTTTACCAAACTTTTAAATAAAAATATCCAATTATAATAAAGTATTGTATATACGAATCTGAAAATGTAATATTAACTATCTATCAATAGTTTATCTTACTTTTATTAAGTTCTAGTATTTATAATAATTTATTTCCAGCCAAATTATTCGTCAATTATTAATCACTGTAATTTATGGAGAAATTGGGATGATATTCAAGATTCTTGGAGTAGCGTTGAAAGTATTATAGAATATTATGGTAAAAATCAAGATTCAATTGTGCCAAATGCAGGACCTGGGCATTGGAACGATCCTGATATGTTAATCATTGGCAATTTTGGTTTAAGCTACGAGCAAAGTAAAACCCAAATGGCAATGTGGGCTGTATTTGCAGCCCCTCTTCTGATGTCTGTTGATTTAAGAAAAATAAGACCAGAGTACAAAGCTATTTTGCAAAATAAAAAGATTATCGACGTTAACCAAGATCCTCTTGGAATTCAAGGAAGAAGAATTTATAAAGTATGTTAAATTTTGTAATGTTTTTTCATATTATTTACTTTTAAATTTAGTAAAATCTTTATTACTCTTAATTTACAATAAATGGAAAACTTTCAGATTTTAAATACCAATATAATGATAATGTTATCAATGATGCTTGATTTTTTTTAATTAAATGTATGAAGTTCATCGTTATACAATATTTAAAAGTTTCCTAAATAATAAATTTAACTGTCAATTCGTTCTATGCAGGAATTGGGCATTGAAATATGGGCAAGACCTATTACACCTTTATATCAAAATTACTACTCGTATGCGATTGTATTTCTTAATAGGAGAACAGATGGTACACCCTCGGATATATCTGTTACATTAAAAGATATTGCTCTGAAATACCCTGGGGGTTACAGAGTAGAGGTACGGTATATCAATTTGTTAGTATACATTACACTTCAATGTTGAAATTCATACTTTCATAATTAATAATTTTTAGGATTTGTACGAAGACGTTGATTATGGTATCCTTTCGCCTCAAACTAAGATTAAGGTGAAAGTAAATCCGACTGGGGTAGTCATTCTGCGATGTAATTTACAGGTTGAAGATGTCTACGACTCCAATCAGTATACACCCTACTCACCTTTAGATCAACTGTACAAAGTCAGACGCAACTCGTTTAAGTAATTTTTTGTAAACTAATTTTAAGAAAATTTTTATCTCTCTTTTTTAATGAATTGTTTATAAAAAGCGTGACCATAATTTGTTAAGGCTGTAAAAAATAAACTATTTGAAATAAGATTGATTTATTTTAACGGATTATTATTTCAATTGGAAACCCTTGTCTTATATTAGCCAAACTTAAAGTTTTGAATTTGTTAAAGGTACTGTTGAATTACAACTAGACCATTTAATAAACGAGTAGTATACACGGTAATTCAAATACATGGCACAGAGGGAGCCAAAGTTCTATAATATCCGAGGAAGTATAACTGACAATTATGTGACAATTTAAAGAAAATTTTATCTTAATTTTTATATTAAAAACGATTATTTTGAGTTAATTATATATAGAAAATGAAGACTGCATTTATGGTAGCTGAAAAGCCTTCATTGGCTGCATCTTTAGCAAATATTTTAAGTAATGGAAAATGTAGTTCCAGAAAAGGTAGGTTAGAGGTATGGGGGTTGTCTGCTAAATTTAGAATAATTTTAAACATTTACCTGCATAAGGTATTATAATTATTAATTTTCGTATACAAATATCACCTCAAAATTTATTTACATTACTAATCTGATTGTTATGTATCATATTCAAAAATACTTACTTTGCAGCGTCGTAATTTCATAAATAAAAAGACAACAAACACGCGGAATTTATTTCATGTTATATAAAATTATGATATTTTTAACGATGTAATCATTATTATTTTTTATTAGGTTCAAATGGATCTTGCTCCGTTCATGAATGGGTTGGGCAGTTTAGAAATGAAACTGTAAATTTTAAAATGACGTCTGTTTGTGGACATGTTATGAGTTTGGATTTCATTGGAAAATATAATAACTGGGATAAAGTTGATCCTGTAAATGAATTATGAATTATTTAACTATAAATAAAAATAAAAAATAATAAAAAATAATAAAAAAGGAAAAAACACTTTAAATATAAACATTATTTATTTTTATAGGCAGAGCTATTTTCTTGTTCAACTGAAAAAAAAGAAGCGGTTCCAAAACTCAAAATACCAAGTTTTCTTTTGAAAGAAGGCGGATATTGTGATTATTTGGTTTTATGGTTAGATTGTGATAAAGAAGGAGAAAATATTTGTTTTGAAGTAATCAATGCCGTTCAACAGGGAGTATCAAGAAAATTGAGCCCAAATGTTAGATTTTTTTCTTCTATATAAAAAATTGTATTAATCTGAATTTCATATTATTTACTAAGTTTTTTATCGTAGGATATATGGAGAGCTAAATTTTCTGCAATCACTGATAAAGATATTAAAGCTGCTTTGGCCAACCTTATCAAACCAAATGAAAATGAAGCAAAAAGTGTCGATGCTCGTCAAGAGCTTGATTTACGAATTGGATGTGCTTTTACAAGATTTCAAACTAAATTTTTTCAAGTAAATTCCATTTAATATTTGCTATTTTTTTGCATTAGCATTAATGATTTTACAAAAATATATTCTCTTAATACGAGGTCGAGAATAACAGTTTCATTCCACCTTAAGTTTATATTATTTTAACAATAGCTTTAATAATAATTTTTAGGGAAAATATGGTGATTTAGATGCATCGTTAATTTCATATGGCCCTTGTCAAACTCCTACATTAGGTTTTTGTGTACAAAGACACGATGAGATCCAAACTTTTAAACCAGATCCATATTGGGTTTTGCAGGTATTTTTATATAGATCAATCAATTTACGTAACGATTAAAATTATTTATATACTCGGATCATTCGGTTACATTATTAATTTGTATAGGTCACGGTAAAGTCATCCGATGGTCAAGACGTAATTTTAAGCTGGAGTCGCGTAAGATCATTTGATAAAGAAGTAGCTAATATTTTTCTTAGTCATGTTAAAGAGCATGATTATGCTGTGTGAGTGCATTATAACATTGTATGTATTAAAAAATTTAAAAGATACGAATTATATATATATATATATAAATTTACTGCTTTAGAGTGGCCAGTATTCAGAGCACTGAAAAATCAAAAGCAAGACCTATAGCATTAAACACTGTAGAATTAATGAGAGTTGCTAGCTCTGGATTAGGTATGGGACCACATCATGCTATGCAGATTGCTGAACGTCTTTATACTCAGGGTTATATAAGTTATCCTAGAACAGAAACAACATCTTACCCCGAAAATTTTGAATTACTGTAAATATAATACAAGCTTCGCTTTTCTATTATAACAATTTGTTATTTTAAAAGTTTTTTAATAATTTACTTATTAATAATTGTAGGTCAACTTTGAAACAACAACAAAACAGTTCAGATTGGGGAGATGAAGTACGTAAAATTTTAAGTAGCGGAATTATTAAGCCTAAAAAAGGACACGATGCTGGTGATCATCCTCCTATAACTCCAATGAAGTTGGCTAGTAGAAATGAATTAGATGGAGATTCTTGGAGGCTTTATGATTATATCACAAGACATTTTATCGCAACTGTAAGTTATTTTTGTTAGTGAAATTATAATTCTTTCAAATTCTGATAGCATGTAATACACATAATACATAATATTGATATAAAATTTTAGCTTGCCCGAGATTGCAAGTATCTCAGCACTACGGTCAAATTTGAAATTGGCTTTGAGATATTTACAGTCACGGGACATTCTCTGGTTGATCCTGGCTATACAAGTTTATTGACTTGGCAGGCATTGAATAATGAGTCACTGCCTCGATTTACCGTAGGTGAAAAAATTAAGATTTTGGATGTAAGTTATTTACAAGAATTGTAACCTATGTATAATTATAATTGATGCAAATTTTAATAATGCAATTAAAAAATAATGTCTTATTTTATAGAATAAATTTAATGGCATTTTTTTTATAATCAATTACGATACTTTTAAATACATGTTAAATACACTTAACGTCAAAAACATTTTTATATTAATTAAATAATTATTTTACTATTAACAATCGAATTAGAATTTAATACGTTGTTATTATTTAAAAATAGAATTATATGCATTCATTTTTGACATTCTCACTTGCTGTATTACCTTATAAAACAAATATTTTATTCTGATAGCTTGTGAAATATGCATATAAATGTTAGCTCGTTAGGTTAATTGATATTTATAATATATTTACATATACGATATTATAAATTTGTTACACAACCTCCTGACTATCTAACAGAATCAGAATTAATTACTTTGATGGAGAAACATGGTATAGGAACGGATGCTTCTATACCCGTACACATAAATAATATCTGTATAAGAAATTATGTTAATGTGGCGACAGGAAGGAAACTTATTCCAACATCATTGGGCATCGTTTTGGTTCACGGTTACCAAAAGGTAAATCTTTTTTGTTAATATAGTTTTGATAAGTTACTATTTTATAGCTTTTATATGTTTTCATTAAAATAACAGATTGATCCAGAATTGGTTCTACCGACGATGCGTTCTGCAGTGGAGGAGCAGTTGAATCTCATAGCTGTGGGACGGGTTGACTTTCATGCTGTTCTCCAACATACCGTTGAGATTTTCAAGCAAAAGTTTCACTATTTTGTACAGACTATAGATGCGATGGATCAACTGTTTGAAGTTTCGTTTTCTCCGTTGTCAGCATCTGGAAAGTCGCACTCGAGGTTTGCATAATTTGAAATATGTTGTGTATAGATTAAAGAATAAGAATAAAATAATTTAATTTTTAGAAAGTAATTACGAAAATTTATCCAAGAACTTCTTCTTAAAAGATTTATTTAAATATTTCAATTAAATATTTATTATAACGTTATGACCAAGTTATTTTAGCGTATAAAAAGAAGAATAACTAAAGCAATACAAAACATAATATTAAAATCATTTAAAATGATTTAACACGTTCACTCAAGTTTTAAATCAAATCAAATTTATTTCAAAGTCAATTAGTTATGCGTATCAATTAGATATGAAATTAGGGCAGTAAAATAGAAATACTTAAAAATCTATTAGATTTCACTTTAATATATTTTATTTATAATTATTTTATATAATACATAGCTTATATATATGTACATAATTTTTTTTTTTTTTTTTTTTTTTAATAACGTACTATTTCTTATTAACATTAACGTTAAAATATAAACATTAGATTATAATTAGTTGTAATAGTAATAGGTTCAATATAGATAATCATTAGTTGATTTACATGATTTATCTACAAAAACATTTCTTGCGTAATTACATTATTTTCTAACTAAATCGAGAGTTTTTTGTTCCATAGATGTGGCAAGTGTCGGCGCTATATGAAATACATTCAAACTAAGCCATCTCGCTTACATTGTTCTCATTGTAACGAAACGTATAATCTACCTCAGAATGGAAATATTAGAATATATAAGGAGCTTAAGTGTCCACTAGATGATTTTGAACTGCTTTCGTGGTCTACGGGTACACGCGGAAAGAGTTATACTTTCTGTCCGTACTGCTTTAATAATCCACCATTCAGGTAATATTTTTTTAATTATAAAGAAAAAATTCACACGTTAATTTTCATCTTATATTGTAGCTTTACCATTAATCCGTTTGTTCTGCTGCAATTTACTTTGTACTATTGATTATAGTTTAATCAAAATTGTGGCATCGATTAATTTAATGATTTATTATAAGTGAAATATGGATGTACAATATTTCTTGTCTTGATAATTTCAATAAATTTGTATTTAGATAGATATTTCACGATAAGTAGAGCAATGTTTATTTTACTAATGATTTGTCATATAGATTTATATAAAATTAAATATTTTCAATATATACGAATTAGCTGATTGAAAGTGTTTTAACTTTTTATTTATTAATTTCAAAGAAATTTATAAGTATCAGATACATCGATGAAATGGTTAAAACGAGCAAATACATATTGGTCAATGTAATGAAATATTGGATTTTTATTTCACAGGGATATGAAGAAAGGTTTGAGTGGATGTAATGCTTGTACACATCCTACCTGCCCTCATGGTCTGAATTCGAATGGTTTGTCAAGTTGTTTGGAATGTGAGAGCGGCATTCTAGTCTTAGATCCCTCGGCCGCGCCAAAATGGAAGATCGTTTGTAATCGATGTGATGTGATCATTCATCTCTTCGAAAATGCGCATAAAGTTATGGTTGAAGCGGACGACGTTTGTAATTGTGGGGCTCAGTTGGTTACCGTTGAATACAAGCAGGTGATTATTTATGAAAAAATATTTTTCATGTAATTATATTGTTTATTGGATGCTTGACACTTAGCACACGATAGCCTTATTTACATTTACAAGTAGAATTGTAAGATGAGTGCTTTTGTACATATGGAATATTTATTCCATTCAAATAGAAAATATAATAATTGCGTTTAATTATGATTCTTTAACAGCTATTAGGTTTCATTTCTAAGACATCCTGTTAAAATTATTGCAATGTTTCGCATATTCTCCTTCTGTTGATTAAAGTCAATAATGTTTTTGATTTGTTCTGAATCTACATTATATTTAATGCTAGATACTCTGTTAAATTAAAATAATAATATCGGTAGAGTGAATCCTTGAGTGTCAAATTAAATTAGTCTTTTATTTTATGCAAATATTCATACAAACATTGTTGTTGTTTTTTTTTTTTTTTTTTTTTTTAAATCGAATCTCATAAAAAGGAAACACCGATTGTTATCGACATTTTCCCAACATACATTTAACAAAAATGCTCCTCGTATTAGACATTATTTATTCTTAATAAAAATAAATGTAACTTTATATAAAGGACTTGAAATTTTGTTAAAGAAATAATATCCGTAATATGTTCACCTTGATAACGAAAAGTGAAACAATTATGTATTTACAGGATAAGAGTAAGCTACCGAATGAGGAAACTGAGATGACGGGTTGTGTCTTTTGCACGCCGGTGTTTACGAGTCTCGTTGAAAAGCATCGGGCAGTCGCATCGAAGCCGGTGGCAACGCGGGGCCGTGGCCACGGAAAAGGCCGCAACCGGGGTAAGCCTCGTCCGCCGAAAGACAAAATGGCGCAGCTGGCTGCTTACTTCGTCTGAGGATCTATGCCCCGTTTTCCCATCTGCCGATCATTATGGCTAAGGATCGACCGACAATTTATTTATTTTTAGTTATTCTCCATCCTCTTGAAAATATTCAATTATTACGACTTGCAAAATTCATGAATTCCTAGCAGTATTTTTTTATTGTACTTGTTTTTTTCTCTTCTTGTTTATTCGGGTTTGACTTTGATTTTTCACGAGTATTGCATCCTTCGAAGCAACGAGCTTATTTATTTGTCAATACATTAATATTAATGTTGGAGTAACTGATATTTTCTACAACTAGTATTCTAATTATTTCATTTATTAGGAGAAATTTTTGTATGAATGTATATTAGAAAATATGCTTATTCAGCAGTTAATCTTTTCGTATCATTATCAAAATTACAAGTTTATTATTATTTTTTTTTTATTATTTTTTTTTTTTTTTATAACAATTTCCTTTCCATTTTACGTTGTATTGTGATCGTGCTTTTAGTCTGTTGATGAGGTAAGGGGAAGCCAATATTTATAACTTCGTAAATGAAATATTAGCCTGGAAATTTGAGATTCTCTAAAAAGAAGAACGAATACTTTGTTAATACAATTGATTTTCAAAAGTTGTAAAATAGCCTGATGAAATAATAAACAAAGTAATTTTTTTTATTTAATTGATTTATATATTAGTTAAATGGTAGTTTCAATGAAACTTTTTTATGCGCTGTGCTACATACAATTTTATGTAAATGTACTTATACAAGTATTATATCTTGTTCGGAAGTTGACTTCTGATGTTTGATATGTTATTAATACAATAACAAACTGATGCAAATCAAAATCGCTTGTCAACTTTTTAAACAGTTCAATGAATGTAGATTTCCATTTAAATCCGCAATTTATATAAAAATAATTATATGCGAATGCAATATATTATAAAAGAAAACTTAAACAAAGGAGATTATAACATAGATAAAGAAAAATATCTTATATGTTGTATACTATTAGTACCTATTTAAAAGGCATAACTATTAATGATTTTTTTTTTTAAATTAAAATCTTTTCTAACGGTTTATAACAATAGAATTTAAAAAACAAGATGCATGTATTTGTACATGTTAATTTTCAAATAAAAAATGTGGAATACAATAATAATGGACTACTTTAACTCATTTGAAGAAAAAAAAAACACGCGTACAATAAAGTATGCGGAGTTTATGCAAAGAATATTCATAAATGCTCTTTAAGTTGTAATAGATCACAATTTTTTAATGCCATGTGTATCTTTCGCTGATCTATTACATTTGTTCAAAGACATCGTCTGCGATGTTTACATGTTTTCAAAATGGTGTATTATGCGCTCATACCCATCTAAGATTGATCTCTTGGAGAAGAAATAAGTGTGCGCATCTAGGCCATCGCCTGCGCTGGGAAAAATATTGCTTATTATGTAAATAAGCTCAACAATTCCTCCTTTCACCTTCTTTCCCTGTCTTGCGCTTTATCTCATTCATACTCTCTAAATTTACGAGCATCAAAAAGCTGCTGATCGCGATCTATGAGAATATTGAAAGCAAGAATGAAATTAAAGGAAAAATGATGCGATCTCTATATGTGAAGTTTATTACGCATATCTTTGCAGCTATTTTTCTAAAATAATTCTTATTTTTAATAAATATAATGCTGCTCAAGAATTGGAGAGCAACAATTATTTTATTTTTTTTTATAATTATTAGCATTTCTACTTATTTTATTAATCAATAAATTAGTAGATAATTAATACGATTAGATTATTCTTATTATATTTATTTTTTTGTAATATGTATTCTTGCCAATACCATAATAAGTTTTTCGTATTCATACATTATAAAAGTAAGCAGAACTGTTAATTGAAATAATTTAAAAAAAAAATTCTCTTTAAATATTATACCAATAACGTGCAAAAAATGTAAAACAACAGTATTGTATATATTTAAGTTTTATTTTAATGCCATATCATTATTATTATTATTATTATTATTATTATTATTATTATTATTATTATTATTATTATTATTATTATTATTATTACTATTACTATTATTATTATTATTATTATTATTATTATTATTATTATTATTATTATTATTATTATTTTCTACGTATGTAATTGCTTGCAATTTTCAAATTATATTAAATTATGATAAAACTACATTGCATGAAAATCTTACAAAGACGCATTAAATGTAAGTAAAAATCCACGGTGTGGGTAGGGATTAGGGGGAGAGGGAGAGGGAATGTGTACAAAAATTAAAGTAAAAATAAAAAGAAACTTTATGAAAATGAATGCATTTGAAATATAATTTCGTGAATTAATAGATCGTAAAAAAATGTTCTCGTTGGATAAGCATTATAAAGAAAAATGGAAAATGTAATCCAGCTTGATAAAAAAAAAGAAGGAGATACTGAAAAAACGTCCTGTGCATCTTACTAAAAAACATAATAGTATGTGCTTCTGTAAACCCAAATATTCTTATTTTTTTGCGCAAGCGCTTATCCAATTTCAGTAACAGCTGTGCAACTACATTTTTTTCTTTCGTTATAGGAAAAACTGTCGATGATAATATCTTTTCTCCAAGCTAACGCGCCTTTGTCTCCATATCCACCATAACGTTTTTACTTGCAATCCTACACCGTTTGACTTACTAGCATACCGATCAGATTATTTTCATAGAGATTTTTTACCATTCTGAAATTTGATTAAATCCGATCATTCAATTTGTAATTTGCTTGATTATTAGAAAAGTTATAAAGAAAGTCAGAGAAGTCGAGTGCAATGTCTCGTATTAATATAAATCAGAGGTGACGTTTTACAGATCGTACAGTTGGCGGAGCTCACTAGATGGAAGATCAAATTAATCGCATTATTACTGAGTTAAAAAGGAAAAAAAAATTAAACATTTATAAACATTAACTTTTACATTCTTTTGAGCTTATTGTAAAAGTATTTTTTAAGCCTTTGCGCTTAGCGACTCATCTACAATGTAATTTTTTAAAATGATTGTTTTAACGATATTTACAAAATAATGGAAGTGACGTATGATACGAGGAAAATTATTTTATTTCTATTAGTGAATTGTTATTAAAATACTAATAACAAGAAATGAGTAATTAAAATATTAACGAATTTTCTTACAATAGGACATGGTACTACTAGTTGAGGATTATGTTAGATTAATATTAGAGATTAAAATTAGAGGAATTAAATGATCAATTTTTGAAAAGTTTTTTTCTTAATTTGTAAACAGCTTTTTATTTAAGAGGTATTTTTATGAAAATTACAAATATAATCATTGTCTATGACGAGTTTTATGCATTGCAAATGAATTTTCTCATCACATTCCTGAAAATAGTTCACAAAAATTTAGTTCATTTTATATTATTATTTCTATTATTACAGTAAACTGGCATAATTTTGAATAAAAAAAAAAAAAATTCTAAAAGATACCGTTACCATAAATTCTCACTGAACATGATTTTTTTTTTTCATAGAGTCTCATGTAATCAAGAAAGTCACATGTCGCGTGAGATTCCGTTGAATTCAATTTTGATTTAAAATATCCAATAGTTGTTCACAGTTTCAATAGGTTTCATCACATTCTCACTCTGAACCATATTCGGCATAAAAAGCATCGGTGAAAAAAGATTCAGAATATTCAAAAAGCGCTAATTTATAATAAAACATAATATGGCCCATTGTGCAGGTATTTTCATATTAGATTTCAACAAGGGCTTGTCTTTATTTTATAATTCTTGAAAAATTAATCTTTTAGAGCAAATTATAATAGTAATACACATATAATGATAATAGTAATTTTAGTACACGTTATGAACTAATAATAGTTTTTTTTTCTTTTTTTTTTTTTTTTAATGTGAACATCGGCTGTTAGAAATTTCCTATTAATCTGTCAGTTTTTTTCATTTTCTTTACAGTATCGACCAATATTGGTTTTCTCCCTACGCTTTGACAATAAAAGCTTTAATAATGGATATGCAACATTCTTGGTCTGCTAGGATATCGCAACTCATTTTCACGATTTCCAACCATTTTGAATACATTGTATTTTTTTTTTTCAATCAAGTGGGAGGAAGGGCTTCGGATTTGTGCGGCACTACTATAATTGTCCGCTACTGCTCTTGTCATCCCCTTTCGATGTTTAATTCTGTCTACAAAAGTGACAGACTTTGACAAGTTGGTTATTGCGTAACATTATATAAACAGGGTTCCTTGGATTTTTTCCTTGAATTATTTTATTCTCTCTATATATAGCTTCTCCCCATTTCCTACAATGTTGAAAGTTCAGAGTTGGCGAGCATACATTTCTAGTAAATGTAATTTGGATACGTCATTTTTTTTAATTTTCTACTTTTCGAAATGTAAGAGATTGTATGTGATATAATATAAGTTAATGCATAAGGAAATTATTTATGTAATTAAATTAACAATTGGCTTACGCATTCTTTCTTATTTCGATTTAATTATTTAATTATTTTTGCTATTCAATATTTCTAATCTTTTTGCAAATAGACAATTATATCTTCTTTGTTAGTAGCACGCTGTATAAGATCCTATCGTTACCGAATCTCCGACATCTTGCGAAGAATTTATTGATAAATTTAATTGGCTTGGGTAATCATGTCCTGAAGGATCATGGCTATGGCTACTTTACTTTGATCATTATTTTCATAGTAAAGATTATCATTGCGATTATCAGATCCAGTTATATTTCTAGATATTTGATTGACATTTTGTTTTAATATAAAATCATAGGCTTTAATTACGCCTCGTAATTATTATAATGTTTTCTAGAATTTTTCTACCAACAATCAACTCGAATTTGAGATTTTTATTACTTGGAAGATATTGCAATAACGTAGGAAAAATAATAACAACGACAAAAATGGTTGTTTAATGACAATAATAATTTATTTATAATATTTTATAAAATAAGCATATATGAAAATATGTAATATGTAAATTTAACAAGTTATACGATAATAATTTAACTAAAACTTTTATCATACATAAAATTACGAAAAATCATTTACGTTTTTTGTAAAATTCTAGGACTTTAGATAATACCGCT